GAAAAATTGATGGTAATAGAAGAGTGCGGGAACTTGGAATTGTTGCACTAAAGTCCTTGCCTGGTTCTAATGAAAACTCTCTCTGCCGATCACTTCAGATAAATTCTATCAACCAGTCAGATCGCTAGAATCAACTATACGCACTATACGTATGAACGCGAAATCTATTTACGGCATTTTGCCGTAATTTAGTAATTACCCCGGGTATTATCTGGTTATATCTATCCGGGTATTACCTGGTTAAATCTACCCGGGTACAAACACTAGCGGTAAAACAATAATTTATTAAAATTTCGCATTTCGAATTGCCGTAGTACCTAATTGTGTTTCCCGTAATATAATTTAGGAAAAAATGTCCGTAAATTATATTTTAAGTAATCGTTTCTAACGCTGTCGATTCTAATTCGACTAACGATCAAAATTGATTATTCATAGAACAATTCTCATCCCAAACTAGAGTGCTACCAAATTAATTATTGTAATACAGAAATACATTTAGATCACCGATTAGCATTAAGTTGGGAAATAATTACTAATTTTAATTTCTCGACCGCAGTACATTTAATCAGAATATAATGATAATGTCTAATCAATAGGAACTGCAGCAAATGGAAATAAAGTACATGAATGAGATCGGAAATAAATAGCAAAACAGTAATATATTCTTCGCTAAAAAATACGAATATGGATAAGACTATTTTTTTTTTATAATTATATATAATAAAAGATAACATTCTATTATTTTTTTTTATCCGAAAATTTTCTACGAAAAAATGGCTATTCCAGATTATATGACAGACAAAAATTCCGTCCTTGAGGACAAAGTAGAATGGCGTAATGGAAAACCTAATTATACTAATGCCAATACACTTTTTGAGAAGGAACGTACCAAGATTCATCCAACGGGGTCACTTGAGGAACTCGTAACAAATCTAGTAAAAAATTGGGAAAAAGAAGCGTCTCATAAACTTAAAGCCGAAGAATGGCGCACAATTGATCATAAGCTTTACAAGTAAGAATATTAATAATTATTATTTATAAAACTTTATGAGCTGCATTATGATCTAAATTTTCATACATTTTTAGATTCTCTACAAATGGTGGCCCTTGGTCAACTGCAGAAGATATGTTAAAAATTGGAACTTACAATGCACTTATTGGAGAATCTGAATTTTATTCAGCGAAACGGTTAAATTTACACGAGTCTCACGATGTATTCCGAAATTCTTTGTCCACTGGTTTTGCTTGGGAAGTTCTCGAAGTCTATTCTGGTCCCCCAAGAGTTTCTTTTAAATGGCGTCATGTAAGTTTAATTATATTTGACGCATTTGATCTCTAAATCGAAAGTTATTTAAATTTAACGAAAATAAATTAATTTAGTGGGGTAAAATGTCTGGACCTCTTAAATGTCCAATGCGTAATGGGGAAATAGTGATGGCTGAACCAACAAATGAAGTAGTAGAAATTTTCGGTATCACTGTCGCGACGATTAATGACAAATATCAGATAATTTCTCTTGAGACATTTTATGATCCTGCCGATCTCATGAAACAAATGGTCAAGAATTGCCCAATCGCTAATCATTAAATTTAACATGGTTTTAAGTTTCCCCCAGTTATTTATGTGAAAATATTGGTGTAACTAACACTGGCTGAACATATATTATTAATTAATAAAAAAAAATTAAAAGTCTTTCGTCTCTCAAAAAAGTTAGCTGTAATATAATTCACAAATTGATTGGTTCACTTAAGTGAGTTATACTAACGCTAAATTTATCCTTAAGCTAATAAATGCACTTTACGATTATCGTTATGCAGCTAATTAAATGTTAGCTTAACATGATAATACTGTAATACGTGCGTAGTGCAATTTGATACCAGATACGGAATAATTTCGTATCGAAAAAGTATTGCACGCATGTGACACGTTACTAATTTGGACGTATCTAGCCAATAGCGATAGTGCTAGACATAAAACTTTATTAATTTTTTATTGAAATATGCAACATACATCAGTGCGTATAAATTGAGACGGAATATTGTCCCAGAAATAGCAACAATAATTTGCGCGATGCGTAGTATCAGAGGAAAATCGGTATATTAAAGAAAGAAGGAACCTGTGCCTCAAAGCAACCCACAAAGTCCAAGAATCGATCAAAAGACCCACATACAAAATGGACCCGAATGTGAAGATCCCGCAGGACCACTGATCAAAAATTGCGAGGTAATTTCCGAAAAGGCATTGTTGAATAATTAACCCGATTGTCAAACATGAGGCTTAGAGATTTCAATGGGTCAAATTAACCATATCTGGATAAGTTCGTGACCGTGTCTTGACGCCATGACAGGTTTTGGAGGTTGTTTATTTGAAATAACGAAGTGAAACTTTCGTCCTTCTTTTCTGTGTATCCAAAAAACACGTATAAGAGAGATGTAAATTTAGAAAGAAAACATGATTAATGAGTATTAGAATATAGTATTAGAATAGTATTAGATAAGGGACCAAAAATAAATAAAGAAAACACTTACCTTTGCCTAACGTTTCGCTACCGCCTTAACCGTGCCAAATCGAATCCCGCCTCTCTTTAAGTGGTGTCACGTTACGCTGCGTACTGGATTTTTAAACGACGCTGTCGCGCTATTTCTTTTGAGCGGAGGTAACGTTCATATCCTCCGACAGTAGCATCAACCGGTGGTCTCCCACACTGCATAAAGCAGGCCGATTTTGATATGAAGTTACAAGTTGCCACAAAATGGCAGGATTCTAGGCGGGTGTGAATTGATCTCTTATGGATAATGGATGCTAGTTGGGCGATTTGCCGTAGCATGCCTGTTTCATTAACAATGGAGTTATTCTTAGTTACCTCATTCGCACCAAATTAAACTGTTAATTAAATCGTACTTATCTGGTTTATACGCTTGTTCATTGGCATCGGATCATCTGCATGTTCGATGGCTGCAGTTACTTAGCTGACTTATCGTCAACTTGAATTAAAATACTATCGCTAACAATATATTGTTGGGGATGATACTAAAATTTGGTCTTTATTAAACTTATACTCGTTTTATTAACAATTCTAATTTTAAATTCTCTAACCTAACCTATAAATAAAAAAATAAAAGACAAATATTAATTGGGTTCAAATTTCAGTATCCAATATCATATTCTGTACAGTATTTATAAGATTATTTTTTGTGTTCGCTTTTACAATTGCATTTTGCAACTTTGCACGCGCTAATAAACAAGTATTTTTTATTCGGATTTAAGTAGAGTAAATGAATTCATTTATTTTCCTTTAAAATATTTATTGATCAAATCGGTTAAAAAGTTACTCTAATAATTGTGACAAATTAAAATGAAATTAGACTTTTTTTCTAACATAATTAGAAATTTTATAAAATTTTTAAGGCGTATTTTTTAGGAGTTTGATTTAAAGATGTTATCGTAATTACAAGTAAAAACTATAAACCTTTTTTAAAGGTCTTATGTTAGAAAACCTTTGTTAAATATTATGTTTTTAAAGATTTTCATTTAATTATTATTGGTATTAACAAAGGTTTTTACATATAATACTTGCGGTGTAATATGCAAATTTTACTTTAGTATTCTAAAAATAAAAACGAGTTTTCTAAAAGTTTTTTAATAGTAATTCCTAATATAACTTTATAAATTATTTTAGAAAATATTTATAATATAAATAGATCATTCTAATAATTTTCTATATTGATATTTTATATTGGTATTCTAAATATAAAAATAACATAAGTTTTCTAAAAGTTTTTTTGTATAGTACAGAACAGTAAAACTATACTATAGGGCGCCAATTTTGGATGCTTATATAATCTATTTTGATTGGCTAATTTTTGTATAATTAATTCTAATTGGTTAAAATATATATCTCTTTTTTTTTATATTAAATACCAATTTTTTAATCTATTATAAACTTTAACTTCTTATAACTTTTTTAAATCAAAGAATAAGAAAAAATCCTTTAACAGAAATGTAGTTTAGTTAAAAAATCTACTAATTTTTAGAGGGTTTTTTGATTTGATTTATTTTAAAAAGTTATAACAATTTAAAGTTTTTATTAATAAAGAGTAGATGTGTTTTACTATCTAGTACTGTAGTAATTCTTAATATAACTTTCAAAAATATTTATAAAATAAATAAGTTATTTTGGATTTTATATTAATAATTTATTATATATAATATTAAAATAGAAATAATATGATTTTAAAACTTCTATATAATGCAATTATTCTTCTTTATAATTGTAAAGATTATTAAATAGTTTTAAATATTTACTTTGATTAGTCTGATTTTATATCTAATTTAAAAATCTTTTGGCTTTATAGAAATTATTGATTATATTTTAATCTACTTTAGATTATTTATTTTAATAATTCTATAAGATATAGGAGTTTATAAGAATAATAGCTTTTAGAATTTAATTTTTTTATTCAAGTTTGTTTGATAATATTATTTGCAAGACTACAAATATAATTTTTTCACAATAAATTAATAAACTTTGTTAGTTGATAATATAATAATAAATTAGATATTATATTATTATAATACTTTATTATTTATCTAAAAAAGATTTAATACATATAATTTTCTTCTTAATAATTTAGATATTTGATCTTGTTTATTGAATATTAGTTTATTTTTATAATCAGATACTTTAAAAAATATTGTCTCAAAAAAAATAGTTTTTTAACTTCAATTTTAAGTTAGTTTAGTTAATTTTTAAGAATTTTGTTTAAAATAATTATACAATTTAATAATTTCTAAAAATATATATATATATTAATAATAACAATATAATATAAATAAGAATAATTGTATCTAGTAATCTTAGTATTGTATAGTATTTAGTTTGTTAGATCACTATGCAATAGGTCTGAGATTCAAATTCTACTATTAATAAATTTGAATAATTTCTTAAACTTTATAATATATTATAGTAAACTTTATTCATTTTTGAATATATATTTCTATAAATTAAATTATACCAAATTGATCTAAATTTAGAAGTATAAAATAATATTATATGAAAAAAATCTTAATAAAATATATGAGCAAGAGACCTATATAGTAGAAATTTCAAGTTAATAAAGTAATATAATTTTTTCTATAAGATTACATTAGCTAAAAAAGAAAACTTAGTTTAATAAAAATAAAAAGTTTTAAAATTACTTGATAGAAGAATAAAGTAACTAGTTAAATATAAAAAAAAACTAGATTAATTAATTAGTAAAAAACTACAGTAGAACTGGAATTATACAAATATTATAAAGTTTAAGTTAAGTATATATGTAAAATAGATATAAAACTACTCTAGTAGAATTGTTTCTAAAGTTAACTAAAACTCTGCATACTCATAATATATTAAGTAATATATATTTTGAGAAGACCTAAATCATACTATAAATAGATTTACAAGCAAGTTAGCTAGCTTAAGTAGTTAGATATAGTGATAATATTAGTTTGGTATAGAGAATAAGTTAATAATTAGAATGTTTATTTTTTTAGATGTTTATTGTTTTTTTGAATGAAGATAGTAATTTAAAATTTTGTATATTTATTAGTTAGGACTAGGTTGTTCACATTGTAGTAAAATAGTAGTAAAATAGTAGCAAGTAGTAATAGGCGTATAGTAACTCTAAAACTGTAATAACTTTAAAGTAACTACAAGTCACTCTCGTTATAGTGAAGTGATCGAGCTGAGAGATTTTCTTCACTATATCGAGAGTCAATTAGTAAATTCACTATATCGAGAGGGTTTTTATATAAACTGTCTTCACTATAACAGGTGGTTCACTATAACGATAGTGACTTGTATATAGCTACTTTATTACTAATTTGCAAGATTATCAAAAGTTGTTAAATTGCATGTTTCTGTAAAGTTATATGCTAGAAAACCGAAAACATTGAGGTTCTGACTTCTGGACTTGAATCAAAACTTTTCGAATCCAATATAAAATTAATGTATCTAAGCTAAATAAAATACAGAACTAACTATTCTATTTATAGCTTAGAATGCTAACAGATTTCTTTTTAAAAAAAACCGATTTGTTCACTTTATAATTCATAAAAATTCCTATAAAGATAATGCAAGGCAACAATGCCACTCCGGACAATGTATATCCCGAAACATTAGTGAAACATGTAAAAAGCGGTTTTAGTTAAGCTATGCACTACATATGAAAACAAACACACATAATGCAAAATTTAAAATTACGTTACTACATAAACCGGGGACGAATACAGAGCGCAAAGTACGTACGTATGTACAGTACGTATGTATGTACGATAAGTGGGCAGGAACACTTTCCGATGAACATCTTTTGACATTCGTGTTTTAAATTTTATTTCAAAACTTTAACGTTAATAAAGTAATAGTTTAAGAAACAAGAATTTACAGGATGATCTACAGTTTCCTTGTTTCATATAAATTCATGCATTTTATTAAACTAGATATAGTTAATTTAGTATAGCACGCAAAATATGCATTATCGTTATATAATATAGCCATAAGCCTGTTGGCTATTTTATATACCTAATTTTGATATATCAATTAGATAAGTTGAATTGGTCTTGTATTACGATTGCTATATTAATAAGTAAAACTCGCTAGCCTTCTACATTCTTTTGTGTGAATTGAGTTTGTCTATATAATACTTTTTTTTACCAACTTTGAATTCTCTTAGAAATTCCTTTTTTCAATATTTCTTTGATTTTATAATACCTTTAATTTTCACTATTTTATAATTATGCCTCCCGAATTTCTTGATTACGATTCCAACGATCAAACTGATAAAAATCCTTATTTAGTCTCTAGTAATAATGATGCTAATTTTAATGATGAAAATAATCCAATTCCTGTAGTTTTTGTTGAAGGGTTTATGGGCCCAGGTAAACCTTCTTATTGGGGTTCATTGCAATCTCTTTTTTCAACCCCTTGTGAAAATCAATATAAGGACAACCTCAATGAAGATGAGAATGTAGGGAATTCATATCACAAAATTAGACGTTGTATCTTCGTAACACCTGGCTGTGGAAGTTCTCTGCATGATAGAGCTGTCGAAATGTTTTATCAAATTAAAGGTGGACGAGGTATATTAAACACGTGAGAGTTGATCAGCATCTTTTTATCCACGTGATTTATATCTAACTTTTACTGTATACCAAACTTTATTCATAGTCGACTACGGAAAAGAACATGCCCAAGAATATGGTCATTCGCGCTTTGGTCGTGAATATCCTGGTATTTACTCCTCATTTATGTAAAATAAAATTTGACAGTAATGAGGTTATTCACAATTAAACGTAATTTATTAGGATCATATCCAGAATGGAGCGTTTCTAAACCTCTTCACTTTCTTGGGCATTCATTGGTAACTATAAACCTGTATTCGTTCATATTTACCTTTTTGATTTTACAGCACA